TGTACACAGGAAGAGCTTAATAAAAGCTGGTGGAATGGACTCATTAAAGCAGCTCTTCACTGCCTGGCTCCAAACCAACTTTCTTTCATTTTGTTTTAAATCTCTTCCTTTAACCCTTCCTAACCTTACTTAAGTACCTCAAGCATACCAGCTCTCTTCCTGTTGGGCCTCCTTAGGTGCTCTTCCTTTTTACTGGAACAACTGCCCCCCAACCCTAAACCCAACTTCTTTCTACCCTTCAGTTCAAAGCTTGGATAGTAGCTTCCTAAGAAAGGAAGACTTCTCTTATACCCTCAGGGAGGTGATCTCCCTTGATATGGGCTCCTATAGGTTTTCATGCGTCTCTACCATGAAACTGTCATCTTTGTCTGATGTTGTTTCTCTCATTGAACTGTAAGTTCCCTGAAGGCAGGAACTGCATCTGCCTTACTCACCTCTGTATGAGCAAAAGTCACATAGACCCTATTTAAGTGAAACGTCTTCCTTTAAAATCACGTAAGAGCCAACAAGATAAAATTTCCAAAATAATTTTACTAATCACTTGCCTTTGAGAATGACAATATCTTTTTAAAAATATCTTCTCAGGGGGCGCCTGGGTGGCTCAGTGGGTTGGGCGGCTGCCTTCGGCTCAGGTCATGATCTCAGGGTCCTGTGATCGAGTCCCGCATCGGGTTCTCTGCTCGGCAGAGATCCTGCTTCCCTCTCTCTCTCTCTGCCTGCCTCTCCATCTACTTGTGATCTCTCTCTGTCAAATAAATAAATAAAATCTTTAAAAAAAAAAATATCTTCTCGGGGGGCACCTGGGTGGCTCAGTGGGTTGGGGCCTCTGCCTTCGGCTCAGGTCATGATCCCAGGGTCCTGGGATCCAGCCCCGTGTCGGGCTCTCTGCTCAGCGGGGAGCCTGCTTCCTTCTCTCTCTCTCTCTCTGCCTGCCTCTCTGCCTGCTTGTGATCTCTGTCAAATAAATAAATCTTTCAAAAAAAAATAAATAAAAATAAAAATATCTTCTCGGGGCTCCTGGGTGGCTCAGTCGATTGGGCCTCTGCCTTCAGCTCAGGTCATGATCTCAGAGTCCTAGGATCAAGCCCCACATCGGGCTCTTTGCTCAGCGGGGAGCCTGCTTCCCCCTCCCCCACCACCTGCCTCTCTGCCTACTTGTGCTTTCTCTCTCTGTGTCAAATAAATAAATAAAATCTTAAAAAAATATATCTTCTCCACCTCTGAAAGGCAAGGAAACTAACAGCAAAAACAAGTTATCTTTTCAACACCTGGGGAATGGTTGGGGGGAATCAGCAGATTTGCTTTTCCCGATGACATCCTGGCTCTCAGTGGATTCTACTTCCCTTAGGTTTTAGGATTCCAGCTTGTTTCCAGCATGATCTCCACCAGAGGAAAGTTAAAAATTATATTTTTCATCACCTAATATTGAATCATCAAGCTGAGTCATGCAACAAACCAGCTGAATCACCTCTTCTGATGGCAGATGCAGAGTAACGCAGTAGGAACGTAGCATCATCTCCACGCACGAAACCAAAGTTGGAACCAGCAGTTTCAACCCTGGCTATGAATCGTCTAGTTTGGCTGCTCACAGTGATGCGTCAGCCTCCTCCCTGATCATAAACTTGGGAGGCTGGCTAGCCAAGCACTACTCCAAACATTTCCAGGCACAGATAGAAAGAAAATTACATTTTGTATTCAGTTTTTTTTTTTCCAATCTATGTTGTAATTATGGCAAGGCCTGCCACCTACTTAGAGATAAACATGAAGGTATGAGGTGCACACGCGTCATTATCATAACTATGTTCAGTGCAACAGTTAAACCATTGCAGTACACAGACTTGCCTGGATGAATCATCATGTAGAATCAATCCTCCAGGAGGAGAGATGGGGGAGGATATTAGCATGAGCATAGAGGGATGTGCTGGGAAAATCAGCCCTGGGCTGCTGGGATGCTGAGGGCAAACACAGAACCTTATCTTATTTTAAGCCTGGTGGGGAAGCCTAAGAGACCACAGCAGGTCAGGGAACAGAGGAAAGTGTTGAAATATTTTATTTTTTCACATACTAGAAATAAAGGAGGGGAGCAATACAGCAGGAGGGTCAATTAAGAGGTAAAGAAAACTGAAAATACCCACTGAGCACATGCACTTTAAGGAAGGTTTTATAATCAAATAATGTAAAGGGAGGCTTAGGCAGGTAAAGCCAGCTATAAATGATAGGAGAGCCGTGTGAGCATCTACCTTCCATGTGAGAGAAATTGCTCAGATGCTTGAAGAACATTCCTTCGCCAGACTTCAAGTTCTTATGTGGCCCTTCAGCATCATTAACTTGTGAAGTAGGCTCCTCAGACTGGGCTGTATTCAAGTGGTATGAAAACTTTTTCTAGGATACTATATAGAATGCCCACTAGCACCTCTGTGCCAAGCTAGCCCACAAAAATTTAAATTGAACTTGACAACTAAGGATCTTTGGGGAAAGCCAATCAGTCCCTATTAAGCGCACGTGCGCACACACGCACACACACACAAATGCCCTTGAAAGTTTTCTTTGCCTCACTCAGCTGGCCGTTGCCCTGTGACCTACAGAAATTAAAAACTGTATCAAGAAAGTCACCATGCTTTTCCTCTTTCTCTTCCCTTTCTTTTCTTCATGAACAATTTAGTCCAAAAGCCACTGGGGAGGGCTCAACAAGATGGTGTCTGCAGTGGGGGTGGGAGGAGTCACAGTGACTCAGAATGGTGTGCTGGAGTTTACAGCAGGGTAGGTGGGTATTGGTATTGGGCATATGGTATTGGAGCCTAAGGTGGGTAAGGAAAATAGGAGATTGGTTACATAAGGTGAGGAAGGGACTGATGAAATAATAAATATACTGAGGGTAGCAAGAACCAGGTATTTTGTTGTCAAAAGGAGGTTACAAATATGGAGAATATGAATGCCGTGGTATTAAATTAGAATTAAAGGTATCAAGGTGAGCTCATGGTTTTCAAAACAGGTAGGTAGGCAGGTAGGTGGACAGATAGACAGACAGACAGATGGAATCTGTGTATATTCTCTAATTCTGCTTGTTGGGAGTGCCTGGGAGCAGTGACGATCCAATCACAATGAGCACACCAAGCTCCCAGATTTTGGTTTCTAAATTCCATTCTCCACTAAAAAGGAATTAGTGCTGTTTGAAGAAATGGCTGATTTCAGGGTTAGGAAAGTATAAGATGAGACTGGAACATCTGTGGCATCAGAAAGCAAGGACACGCCCAGAGAATAATGAGGACATGTCAAAAGGATGCTGAAGTTAGCTTGAAAGAGCTCCCATAAGTTATATCTAAACAAATTAAGAATAAAAATCATAGAAATGGATTCTAACCCACAGAATATAATAGGAATCCATATGACCACGTTGACATAAATAGATAAATGAATAAAGTCTGATAAGGAGTGGGATAAAAGATTACACAGTACCAAAGTAACTCCCCACAGAATATTTATTAATTACAAAGGACATAGTAATTTTACTGCAGAAGCCTGTCAGACACTCCCACAAACAAGTGATCAAAATTAATATCACGTGAAAAAAGTCAGTATCTGTCCCTGTAAGGGACACCTGATTGGATATAGTGAGAAGAATATAGCATCATTCTTGTGGTATTCCTACCAAATATGCATTACCTGAAGGTACCCATGTGAAAGCATAGACAAACCCACATTGAGGGACATTCTACAAAATTGGGCGTGATGGAGCATCAGTGTTGGCAATTTACTCTCTCGAATGGTTCAGAATAAAACATATTTGTACTATACTTGGAAACTTTCCTTTAGGTTGAGATTATTTCAAAGCTAAAAATTAATAACCGAAAGAGTTACCTTGAGTCACTGTAGATTTGATGGAAGCCACGTGTCAAGACTAGGGACTAGGATCTGGATAAACCAAGTCAAATGCCAGCAAGTATATATTACGGTAATGCTTTTCAGATGGTCTCTAATGAAAGAAGTTTCCCCTTCAGTCTGTCATGAACCAATATTTTTACAAAACAGAATTCCGTGCTTGGATTTGAGGACAATATCAAATTGCAACAAGAATGGTCAAACGCTCGCTCTCTCTGTCTGGACTGATTCTCAGTGTGGACTGGTAAGTTTATGGACTAGCCCAGACCACACTTCGAGCAGCATTTTCCCGCACTAGGATGTGTGGTGCTCTGACTGCCATCATATCCAAATGGGAAATAAAAACAACTGGTCACACTGTTAATTCACAATGGCGGCAACATGAATTACCACCATAATTAAATAACATCAACCATTTATACAAAGCATTCAAGAAAGGGACAGCCCAGGCAATGGGAAGGGACAAAAGACCTTCAGGGTAACTCCATCTCTCCAAATGTGGTGAAGACAGGCCAAGAATGAATGAGACCACCCCTGATTCCAAAGCAACTGCATTGTGGTGACTAAAAGGAAGACAAATCCAATCATACAGAAGAAAGACAAAAACATCTGCTATGGGTCAGTCTGTGACACAGGGTCATGACTGTCATTGCTAGGAAGGGACCTGGTTTGGAAGGGGTTAGCAGAGCACATCCCCCAAATCACATGGGTTTGATTTAACCACAGAGACCAAGGGTCAGGCTACTGACTCCAAGCCGGCCCCCACACAGGCTTGCTCCGCCCGGGGTCTGTGCCACACACGGCCCCTCCCTCAGCCAGAGGCAGCCCTCTCCAATAAAAGAGAACAATTCTCTACTAAAGCAAACTCAGAGCAGAACAACGAGAAAGAAGCAATTGCACCCTCAGGGAAATGGCACGCCATCCAGGTTCAGAGTTCTTCTTGGGGACATTCTCACTTCAGTTGCCTGTCCCTGGATGCTAAAACCCTTGCGTCGCACACCCACCCCCGCCCCACCCCAAACATGAATTCTAGCCACACACAGAGGAGGCTCCACAAGAAACACATAAGCTGAAATCAACCTTTGTGCACAGCATCTGTGTCTGGCGCGCGCTTTGCTTACCTGGCGCGGTTTTGTAGCACGATGTCCGGGCGGGCAGGGACGGGGCGTTCTTTGCCCGGGGGCTCTGGGTGTTCTGCAAGACTTGCCTCTGCCTCTTCAGCTCCTCTTCCCTCTCCTGGGCTGCTCTGATCTCTTCTTCGATCATGGACAAAGTCCGCTGCTTCCTGGACCTCAGCTTGAAGGGCCCAACCATCACATCGGACTCCTGAGTGGCCAGGAGCGAGGCTGTGCTTCTCAGCTCAGCTGCCTCCGAGTACTTGCTGAAGTAGCTCCCCTCCGGTCTGGTCTCCTCCATGTTCACCGGGCCACTGGGCTGCACTGCCGGCGGCGACTGGGAAGGCCCCCTTTCCCTGAGCGCCCGGTCTTCGGCAGACAGAATCTTTGGTAACACCTCCCTTTTCTCTTGAACGGGAGAGGACACCTGGGGTGGTTCGAACATGCTCTGAGGCTTCTCTGAGCCGGGAGCCCCAGTTTCGGCTTCTTCTAGAGTTGCCCCAGGTCCCTGCTGCTCTGTCCCACCCTTGCTGGTTTCGGACACGGCTCTATCCACTTGCTCAGCTATGGCTTGTTGAATGGCATTCTGCACCAGGAGACCAGCCTGATATTCCAAGGGATCATCCACTGATGGCGAGTCTCCCAGTGTAGACGAAGGGGAATAGAAACCATGATCACTAAATGACTTGGAGACGCCTTCTCCCCGGCCCTCTGAAGGGTTGTCAGTTTGTGGAGTCTGGGGCAGAGAAAAATCGGCCAGTGAGTTCTCCTGGAGGGCGTTGGTGGTCTCGTTGGACGCCCCGCTGTCACTGATGTTGTCCATGCTAAAATCATTGGACAGGGTCTCCAGGACAGTGGTATCCTGGGACCTCACCGACAATTCATCCAAACCAGAGTCAAGCTCCTCTTGGGTGAGAGAAACATTGACTGACCTGGAAAACTGATCCAAGATCCCGGGGTCCTCATCCTTGACCACAGTGAGGACAGCCCGGGCACTGGTAAACTCCCCATCCTCTGCCCACAGTTTGGATAAGGGCCCGCGTTTGGAAGGCTCACTGTAGGGCCCTTCTTTCCCCTGAGGAGCTGTGCTGCCCTGGCTTCCCCCCAAAGACTGGCTGTCCAGGGCACAGCTGGCTTTCTGCCCCTTGGCTGCTGGTGCACCACCGTCTTCCAGCGGTCCCCCGATGGAAGCTGGTCTCGAGATGGTCAGGGGCTTGTCTGAGTTGACTGATCCCAAAGGCCTGTAAAAGGGCTTGATAGAGAAGAGCCTGGGAGTACTCTGGCCCTTGGCCACCGTTTGCCTGGAGCTCTCCATGAGCTGGAACTGCTTGCGAGCAGCAGAGAAGTCTATCTGCTCGGTGACGATGTCCTCCTTGGCATGGTCGGGGGCGCTGGCGTGCTCGCGGGAGGGGGCGGGGGCCACGCAGGGCTGCGGTGGTGGGGGCTGCTGCTGCGTGAGCAGCAGCTCCTGCTGTGCCCTTCTCTCCTTGCGCTCCTTGTACTTCTTGTGTGACTCCAGATGCTCCTCATCCAGCTGCTCCTCGATGGTCTTCTCCTGGGGAGGATTCCACCATTTGGCCGCGATGCCGGGATTCTTCTTCACCGCCTGGCTCCGGATGAGCTCTCTCCTTTCCTTTTCCAGCTCCAGCATCTCTTCCGAAGGTCTCACCTTCCTGACACAGTACTGCTCCTTCTCATTCTCATCGTCCTCAAAGAGCCTGGAGGGCTTCTTGTCCTCGTGGAAGGCACGCAGCTCAAACTTGGCCTCCTTCTTCAGCGTGGTGAGCGTGAGCTCCCCATCACGGCCCGAGCACCGCGAGCTGCTGGAGGAGCCGGGGCTCACGGGGGCCTGGGGGCTGTCCCCCTGCAGGTCTCGGGGCTGGGCAGGGGAGTGGCCGTTGGCTTTTCCACCCTCTGCCATGGCGTCAGAGTAGCTGGTGCTGAGCTCAGTGTGGGGAGGGGCCTGTCTGCCAGCTGCCCTCTCGGTGGGTTCCGGCTGGATGGCCGCGTGGGCAGGTGGGCTTGCGCTACCCTCCACGATGGCTGCTCCGGGCTCCGGGGACGAGGTACCGTTGTAAGTTCCGTCCACAGCAGAGTCACAGCAGCTGGCTTCCAGCACCTCATCTAGATAGCGGATCTCTCTGGCCACATCATTATCCAGAGCTTCATGGTGATCACTGAGGAGGCCGTTGTGGGGGGGTGAGTAGAAAGGAGAGGCGTGGTCCATGGAATGTGGGGTAGACGCGGTACCGGGAACACTTTTACATTCTGCGACGGAGACCTCAATTTCCATGTTTTTGTGATCTGGGGGAAGGGAGCTGGTTGCAGGCTCCAAGGGGTTGGCCCTGCTGCAGTTGTCTCTCTGGTTTTTTAGCCGGATATCATCCTCAGAGAGCTGGGGAGGCTTCTGGAATAAAGAGAGGAGGAAAGGCAGAGTTAGATACTAAATCTCTTATGGAGGTGAAGCCTTGAGAAATTAGTTGGTAACTGACAGGAAGGAAAACTGAAACATGACAAGGTCTCCGGAACAGACATTTTCCTTCTAGTAATTCTTCACATACTTACTTTGTTGTGGTGATTGGTACCTAAACTTCTCCAGGTTACAGATTCTGTTTTGCTCACTGGGTCTCCGGAGAACGTTCCATAGATGTTAACCCCATTTTTAAATTTCAATGTAAATGAAGATTCAGATCATTTGAAGACACTGTTCAGATATCTTCTGAAGTAGAAGAGATTATATACCATAGCCATAGCAATGGGGCAGAAATGAAATAGGACTATTTGTGTGTCCCCAACTATAATAAGATGGTCCCCTTGCATGAGCAATTCTTCTTGAAAACATGAGTCTCTGCCAGGTGTAATACAGTTAATTCTGGAGACAAGAAGCTTCTTGAGAATTTTTACAAAATAAAATACTGGAAAAGGGTAAATCCCTTCCAAAGCCTCTTAACAACTTCAGTGCCCCATTGCTATGGCTCGTAATTCAGCATGTGCGCTATAAATGCCATAACCAAAGCCACTGCTTGCACAGTTCTATTCTCTGGGACTACATCAAAACAGTTCCTTAGTTAAGGACTGAGTAATTTTGCTTTGAAAAGTTAGTGGCCCGAGGCTCCTCCCTGGTTCCTAAAATGCTTTGTCTGTGATAGCTCCACTCTTATCCTTCAATAAGAAAAACCACATCTTCTTAATGTTTTGAAATAAATCCCACTTGGTCACTAATTGCTAATCCCATGCAATTTTGTCATTTGGCATTAGTAAAATTAATTTCCAAATTCTAGGATGATTTTTTTTCACACCTAAGGACTCTGGTATATCTTAGATAATTCAGTGGTAAATTGTGACGTTAATTAGGGAGTGTTCCTCAAGGATCTCATGGACACCTGGTCAAGTTTGTCTTCCTCTCTCAAGTTCATGCTGCATTAGTGGCATACTTCCATGCAAAACTGCAAGGTGGCATCGTTTTCATTTGTGTACACTGTAAACGATTTTAAAATCTTAGAACATAATGCTAAAACATCACTTTTGGAGGACTCCCAGGGGATTCATTTCAGAGTCCTTCTAAGGAAAGTGCATAATTATGGATTTCTTCATGAGACCTAGAACAATATGGGGACTCACCCTATGTGCTCTGCACTGCTGTCAGAATGCTGAAAAAGTCTCATGGTTCTCCATGAACTGGGGTTTCCCTCATTCTGCATTTTTTACATTCTCTGCCAGATTTAATCCAACCAGGTAATTTATGTGCCTTCTTCAGTCACAGGCAACAACAACTATTCCTTTGTCAACACCTTCTGGTCTTAGATGATCTTCCAGTCTAGCTCTGGTCTTTGTCCAACTCTAGTATTTAATACCATTAATATTTATAATGCTAATACCTTTATTTTATTTTTTTACCATCATTAACTAGGGGTTCTTTTATCTTTGGAATGAACTCAAGAGCCGTGTCAAAGATGTTTTTATTGCCTTTTAAAAACATTAACTAGACTCTCTTTTGGTAAGGCAATTGCCAGTGACTTCTAGGTCATTAAGAATTACAGAAAATATGAATAACTGAAACTTACTGGCTGCCATTCAATTTCAAATAAACCTAGGTCAAAATCAGCCCACTCCATGGAAAGCTATTACTGGAATAAACAGACCAACAAAAAGAGATACAAGGCACTGCTACAGTGAGAATCCGATGATCTGTGACCCTCCCACCCCGGTGTCATTTGCCCAGTGACTTACTGCTAACATTCTTTATGGGACTAAGTAGAGCTTTTCTTATATGCTTTTTGGTTTTGGGGGGGAAAAAAAGGTAGGAAAATGGTAGGAAGCTATTAGAACTGTATTATGGTTGAAAACCACCACCCTCCTAAAACATAAAATACTTTAGTTGACATAAGAGGAAAAGAGGGCAGTGTAACAGTAAAGGAAGCTAAAAGGCAAATAATTCATTCTACACTTCATTTAGTCATTCATCTATTGATTAAACATTCATTAAACAAGCAGGAGGCTTATTCTGCAAGGTCATAATGAGATCAGCAGCAACCATAAGCTCCAGGAGACAACACTTCTTTCTTAAAAAAAATTGGATTTCCTAGGAAGCCGTAAGTCTATTTTGGAGTTTATTTACTCTGGTCAGGAGGAGGGAAGGGTGATCTGTTACTAATCACAGAAACAAGAGGTCCTTAGCCCAGTTCCACAGCACGGCCCAAGAGCACCTCATGTCTTTCTCCTGTTGCTTCAGGTCAAATGTTGGACCATGCCAAGCCGATGCCCTGTCAGCTTTTTTTTCTCTTTTAAACTTGAAAATTATACCAAGTCTTTCCAAGGCCTATTTTCTGAAGTAGCAAGTGTTCCAATTCAAAATTTTAACTCTGAGAATAGCATCTGACAATACCTTTTCGCTGTGTCCAACACCACTACCATTAGCTTTGAGTCAGATACAAGGAGTCTCGTTCCTTGAATGCCTTCTATGATGTAGCTTTAAAAATGCTAATTACTGGCTAAAAGCCAGAGTTTGGAGTCCCAGTGTAATCTGAGACAATTCTGTTCCAATACATTTGTTTAAAACATGGAGACACTGGAGGGTGTAAACAGGAAACGGCCTTCTCTGCTTCCTATTAGTTACAAGGGGGGTCCTCCCACTTCTTTCCACAAATTCAGTAAATTTTTCTTGATACTCAGTTCCATCTACGTCAGGTAGTAGCAGCTCTACACCCAAATCAGGGTAGAAGTAATGAAAGAGACAACGCTCGTTCCTGGTTCACCACCATGCATCAGAGGTCCTGAGTTTTTATGAAGTCGGGCAACAGTCGTAACAAAGAGCAAATTCCTGAGTTCTGTTCTCAACGGGACGCATCTACCTTCCTGCAAGATGGCCTGATGCGATCAAAGCCACCAATAAGTAGCCCAGATAAATGGAAGTGGGCTAGAAAGTCCACAGCACAAATTTGGCAGGAATCTGGGCTTGCTGTTATTAAATGATGTTTTGCTGAAACCAACAAATGCTCATTGCTCCCTTTGAAGATTAGAAAGACTAGAATTTTCTCCATGCCTCAGATAAGATGAACCTGATTCCAGATTCAGATAAAATGCATTCATTAAATGAACTGGAAAGTCCTCAAAATAAACTGTGCCCCAATGCACCTGGGTGGCTCAGTTGGTTAGGCGTCTGCCTTTGGCTCGGGTTGTGATCCCAGGGTCCTGGAATTGAACCCCGCCTTGGGCTCCCGGCTCAGCCAAGAGCCTGCTTCTCCCTCTCCCTCTATCTGCTGCTCCCTCTCTCCCTCTGCTTGTCTGCTCTCCCTCTATCAAATAAATAAATAAAATCTTAAAAATACACACACACACACACACACACACACACACACACCATCAGGGGCACCTGGCTGGCTCAATAATAGAGCATATGACTATTGATCTATTGATCGTGGGACCTGGGGGACGTGAGTTCTGCCCCACATTGGACATAGAGCTTACTTAAAAAAATAAAATAAAATAAAATAAAGGAGCACCAAACCGGATTTTGAAAGGGTGCTAAGAGACCCAAGGGAAATCCTTGGATTCCCCCTGCTAACCCTCCAGGTGGAGCCCTAACAGCACAACACATGTTACCTGCCAGCCTCCAAGGTTCCTGCAATAGCTAACAGCCAGTCAGGATGTCTACTATTTACTTTAAAATATGTGCACAGAGACCATATGATACAGCCGTGTGTGTCTGAATCAGTTTAAATCCTATTCCGGGGCAGACAGCTGTCCTAACTGGGAATATAACCCTCTAAGAGTGGTCAACCAGGATCTAATCAGAAATTCCAGGGTCCGCAGGTGGCTTCCTTCCTGGGTAGTTCAGCTACCAGGGCCCCCTGAGGCTTTGCTAATTGGCACAGTTAAGGTGAGAAATAAGTTTTCATCAGTGAAATTACCGGATTGTCAATTAGCATAATAAACGTTAGAAATTGGTGAGATTGGTGGTGGTCAGATTTGCGGATTCGAGATGTTCTCTGGCCTTTCCTGAATAGGATTTAGGGACAGAGTGAGCATCGGGGCTTTATACCTTTGGGAAGGTGCTTGGAGCCTGAAAAGGAACAGCCATCCCCCACCCCCACCCCCACCTTCGGCTCAGAGGACTCTGGTTGTTGAACTACTACATAGTAAGGGAATCCTGCCTTTGTGAAACTGCTCCATCTATCTCCATGCCAAGTGGAGTTGGGAGCGTCTAGAATCTTCCAGAGCGGAGGTTTCTTTGAGGTTGATGACAGGAGGTTTTATGCCTACTTTTACAAATGTTTATTTTTAATTTCTTTCTTTTTTTTTTTTTTTAATTTTTTTGACACACAGAGATCACAAGTAGGCAGGAAGGCAGGCAGAGAGAGAGGGGGAAGCAGGCTCCCTGCCAAGAAGAGAGCCTGATGCTGGGCTCGATCCCAGGACGCTGGGATCATGACCTGAGCCAAAGGCAGAGGCTTTAACCCACTGAGCCACCCAGGCACCCCACAAATGTTTACTTAATAAATGTCTGTATGAGTGCCAGGACTTGGTCCAAGACCGGCTTTTATTATAACCTGGTGCCAGGTAGCGTCTCAAGCTGCCACTATTTACAAAAATGTGTTTAATAGTTACGCAAAGCAAATTATATGGTTAGTTTACAACACGGGGGCCCCGCGACTCCTGTGAAAGTTCTGCCAGACCCTACGTAAGACAATCATGGGACTCTTCTTGGAAGAACAGAACTCCTTTGTAAGCAGGACTCATAACAAGATCTCTCAAATCTGTTTTGGGAATTTGATTAGATAATGTTGTTTAAAAGCACTATGTAAGGGGGAACTGGGTGGCTCAGTCGGTTAAGCTTCCCACTTGATTCCATCTCAGCTCATGGTCTCAGGGCTATGAGATCAAGCCTGTGTCGGGCAGGGAGTCTGC